GCAGCTTCGCTGAATCGACATCCAGCTTGTATGAACTTTACTCTGGTTCGGCTGGTGTCCTCCCTGGTTTCGCTCATGCTCTCCAACTTCCGCTTTTGACGACGACCTCATTGGGAATTGTGCTTGATGGGCTGGTGGGGAAACGCGACGTGGAATCCATCTCGTTTGCAAGCGCATCAGCCTCTGTGCTTGCACGCGATAAACATGTCTTCGCCTATATCCTGTCCTTGCTGCTCTGGTGTGAAAACACTTCCATGTGACTGCTGCACTGTAGCGCGGCCGGCCCAACTTTTGATATGTTTCCCCAAAAACGCACACTGTGTGTTTTTGCCACTGTGTATTTCGTGAATAATTTTTGTGTGTTTTGTGTGTGTTCTTCCCACAGTGTTTTTTTTGTTGTGTGTGTGTGTGTGTTTGTGTTTGTGTGTGTGTTGGTCCAGTTGATGTGCCGACTTTCCCGCGCGCCAGAACTCCACACGGACATTCAGTAGTCCGCCGCCCAACAGCACATGCTTGTTGCTCTTGTGCGCGCTCCATAGACATGCGCTTCGCGGCGCTAGGCGCTATGCATTTCCTGAGGGGTTCGTTTCCTCCTTCTTTTCCGCATCGCACCTCCCCTCCTCCCCTCCACCTCCATCCTTGGTTCTGGTGGTTCACACGAAGAGATAAGGAGAACCAATCTTCGCTTTGACACACGTCCAGCGTCCGTCTCACACGTTACGCAGAAATTGCCCGATTCACCCTGTCGCGGGTAGGAGGCTCAAAGGTCCTTCGGTGTGGACAGCATCGAGGCGCCTGTGCTTCACTCCAGCTGTTCTCTCCGACCCCTGCCACGCCTTGGCCCATGCGTACCCAAGCGCGGGAGCAAACCTGCAAGGCAGCGCAACTGGATTAAGAACTCAACCTTGGCACGTATCACCGCCTTCGATCCCAGGGCTTCGCCCTCTCTCGGCCTTGACGTGAGGCCCCGCCTTCTTTTGCCCTCCCTCTGCTAATTAAAGCTGTGCGCGGCCCGCTTAGCTTCTATCGGAAGAGGTTCGCTCTCGCCCCGCAGATCCCCCCAAAAAGTATCACCGCCTTCGAAAGGCCATCTCCTCCGACATGTGAGCGTTTCTCCAACTCGGCACCGCGAAACTGGGCGGAAGGGGGGGGAAGGAGGGTCTGGCTCCAGACCCCTGCTCTCAGTGCGACTGCTTGCGAGAGTGCTGCCTCCAGGGGAGACTCCGCCCGCTCGAAGCAGGCGCCAACGAACGGCCAAGATCTACTCCATGGGGGGGGAAGGGGGGTTTGGGGGCCCGCGCCGATCGGCAAAACAATGGATAAAAAAACGATCACAATCGGGAAGACAATGTTCATCAAGGTCCTCCAAATGCGTATGCTCATATCCTCACGCACTTGAGCACTGTCGCTCTGGAGCACAGCCAAAGCCTTGCCGTAAGGAGCCTCGAATCATGAACGAACCCAGTTTGATCCTCAGTTGCGCCCAGATGCACACACGAAGCGCCTGTGGAAAACCAATGGAAGAAATCCGCCGACCTCTTGTGGGTCCCTAGGCGTGTGGGAGTCTCCCCCTCCCATAACCCCCCTCCCCGGGACCCCAAACCGGCAGTCCGACCCCAGCCCCCCCGGCCCACGCCGCCCCCCCCCCCGGGTGCACGCATCATGGGGGCACAGGAGGCCCCGAAACGGGCCAAGAGAGCCCCAAGAGGCCCTCAAGACGGTCCAAGAGAGCCCCGAGTCGCCGAAAGATTATCCCAAACCGCCAAAGGTGGCTTCCGAACGGCGCAAGATGCCCCGAATCTGCTCCAAGAGCCCCCCAGAAAGCCTCCCAGAGGGGGCACCAAGAGGCAAACATCGTCCCATTACCTTCGGGAACGTAGACTTTTAGCACATTCGCCTCTAAGGCTCTCGCAGCGTCGAAGACGGCCCAAGAGGCTCTCGATATCGGCCCCAGAGGCCCCCAAGAGGCCCACAAGAGGGCTCCAAGACGGCCCCAGAAGGCACCAAGACGGCTCACGAGGCCCCCCAGACCGCTCCAGACGGCCCCGAAACAGCCCCAAGAAGGGGCCCAGAGAGGGAACCCGAACGGACATTTGCAGCCAGCCCCGAACAGTCCCCAAGAAGTCACCAAAGAGGCCCCAGAAGGCCTCGAAGAGGCCCCAAAGAGGCTCCCAGGAGGGCCCCAGAGGCCTGAAAACTGTCAGCAAGAGGCCCCCGAGAAGCCTCCCACGAGACCCCGTCAGTCATCCGAGTGGCCTCTCACCCACACCCCAGGCACGGTCGCGGATGGGCCGAAGGCCATTCGATCTGTCGCGACATGGGAGCCTGACCAAGGTCTCTTCCTCCTCTTTCTCCTCTTTTTCTCCTCCTTCTCCTTCTCCTCCTCCTCCTCCTCTTTTTGTCCTTCTCCCACGTCATCCTTCTCCTCCTTCTCCTCCTCCTCGTCCTCCTCGTCCTCCTACCCTCCCCCCTCCCCCCCCTCTCTCTTCTCCTCTTCCTCCCACAACTCCTCCTCACCTCCCTCCTCCTCCTCCTCCTCCTCCTCCTCCTCCTCCTCCTCCTAGGTGGCTCCCCAGCGGCCCCCACCCCCCGCAGCAGTTTGCCCCGCGGAGGGGCGCGGCAGCCGCGCCATACAGGGGACGCCCCCAGCCCCGCAGGGGCGACCCGAACGGGCCAGCTCGCCCGCCTGGCATCGCAGGCTGCGGCGCTAGCGGTCGGCTGCCCGCGAGTACCTGCGACGGGTGCGAGACGAGCAGCTCCTCACGATGCACCACGGCAGCGCCCCACCTGCAGCCCCCACGAGCAGTGGGGCAACATGGACGACCTGCAGGCAATGCAAGACATGGTGGTGGAACTCGCAGCTCGCGAAGAAGGACTACTGGTGCACGTGCGGCTGCCGTGTGGCGCGCCCAAAAGCACAGCGATGGAGCCCTGCAGGCAGCCAGTCGGGCAAGGCCAAGGGCGGCAGCCACAGCAGCGAGGCGGCAGGAGGTCCAGCAGGAGGAGTAGCCCAGCTCGCCAGCGCGCTCCAGAACGTCACGCAGACGCTGGGCACACTCCAGCTGGCCAACCGCGACATGATTGTCAAGCAGTTGGCGGGAGTCACATCAGCGCTGCAGACTGCTGAGACACCAGCGCCGCCGCAGCGTTCAAGAGCGGCCCGTCTGGCAGACGCAGCGAGAGAGCTCGAGGACGCCAAAAAGAAGTACAACACCGCGTTCGAGACGATGCAGGCCGCGGAGGAGAGGGCGGCCAAGGCGCGCGCCATCCTCGCCGAGCGCGCAGACACCGTGCTCACCGCGGAGAAGAAGATCGAGGGGATCCAGCACGAAGGCAAGGCGAAGCCGCAGAGGGGCATCTTCGAGCAGCTCTTGGATGCCGACCTTGACCTGTTTTCAGCCAGCGACGTGCAGATCGAGACGGTAGAGAAGGAGTTCGAATACGAGGCTGACATGGACGCGGAGGGCAGGCGCGCAGTCGAGGAGGCCAAGAAGAAAGTCTTGGGCCAGCTCCAACAGAACGCCAAGATCTTCGCTGGCCAGTTGCGGGCCCACCCCAACCTCGCCAAGCAGCAGGCTGAGGAAGAACGACGGCAGATATCCCAGGCTCACAAGAAGCGCAAGGCCGACCAGGCAGCACAAGAGGTTCCAGCAACAACGCCAGCAGCACCGACGCCAGCAGCCACTCCAGCAGCCCCGACTACTGCGACCCCCACAGACAAGCACTCGGAGCATGAGAAGAAGGCGGCAGAGTCCTTCCTACAGCAGAGGAGGGACGCGGCTGCGGCCACCCCCACCGTCGGACATTGACGGTCAGGGCGGGGTGGGCGGCGGCAGTTTGGCGACGCCACCCACCGCAACCGCCACATCTTCAGCGCCAACATTTCTAAGAAGGGACCAACAGCCTGGGGGTGGCTGCGGCGCAGAGGCATTCGACAACAGTACGATGACCACGCCCTGCAGGAAGCATACCCAGGCCAGCACCTCATTGACGACACCGAGCACTCACTGCGGAAGGCGGGCTACTCCGCAGTGGTCACGGCGGCGACGGCGAGCGACACTGGGGAGGTGGGTGCTCACAGAGGCGCGGGAGTCCTCACCAAGAACCACCTCAAAGTGACATCTTGCCGACACAGGGGAAGTCAAAGTACAGTCTCGAGCGCAACATCAGACGCACGTGGAGTGTACGACGACATCGGCATGTGCGACTGGACCCCAGTCACCCTGCACATGAGCGGCACCTATATACTCATCATCTTCTTGTTTCTCTTTCTCCTGACCTCGCTGGCCGCATTCCTTGCCATCATCACGACGCCCTGGATCATCTGTGGCGACTCCAACTTGACTTACACAGAGTACGAGAAGACGGGCGGGACCGAGGAGCCTGGGGCCGCCAGCGTGGTCACACCCCCCGTAGTCCAAGCCTCGTGCTTCCTGGACGACAGTACGACGAGCAACCACAAGTACGCGCTGGTCAGCGAAGGAGGCAGACGCATGATACGGCACATTCGGCAAGTGCAAGACGTACCTTGGAGGCCGCACATCGGTATGGCCAGCAAGGTAAACGCCAACTTCAGCCAGAACGAGTACACCCTGCGAAATGCTTAAGAAATCATGGGTTAAGAAATTCATGGTCTCAGAAATTGAACAAAAACCTAACATTTCTATCAAAATCTTAGGAGTTACATTGAAAAGTTAAGAATAATCGAGACTCTGGCCGAAAACTTAAGTTTTCTTAAGCATCGCCTGAGGTGTAAAGCAGGCTGAGCATGCCGAAGGCCCCCCGACCTCCGCCACCTCCACCACGACCAGTCAAGACCATGAACGGCAGGCGCGGCCAGAAGAAGGGGTAAAGGAGCAAGGACGACACGAAGCGCCAGAACAGCAGGAACAGCCAGAGGACCTGGACCAAGCGGATGCAGCTCGATGGGAAGCACAGGGAGACCACGGCGGGCGCCAACTCCCAACTCAGCACCGCGACGCCGGAGCGCCTCCGCCCAGACTCAACAACATGGACAAGCGGGAAGTCGACCCGCACGCCGACATCGACGACTGCAACCTCGGACCCGACACTCAGCACGCCGACCGCAACTTGCACATCCAGGAGTGCGTCACGCCCAGCGACGACTACAGCGACCCCTGCATGCCCAACCACCACACGCAGCAGGGCTCCGACCTCCCACGCCGCACCGCTGCCGCTGCAGGCCCCGACGTTCAAAGGACGACGGCAGACTACAGCGAAGGCACCCCAGAGAATTCAGCACAGGACGACCAGACGGACTGGAGCTATGCCCGAAAGGTAGAGCAACAGCAACCGTTTGTGGACCGCCTGGCAGCCACACCCACTGCGGCAGCAGACGTAGACACAGCCTCAAGGGTCGACACCTGGGACTCGGCTACACTACCCCACCATGGCCGACCAGAACATGAGACCTTCTACTGCATCGCGTACAGAATACCGTTGGAGGACCCCACCCACTACGTCGGCAGGTGCAATGGCTATGATCTCGAACCTACCCCACTTCGTGAGCACGGTACTGGACGGACTCGATATGCTACACACAGTGCTGATTGGTGGAGCCGTGTTGAGAAAGTACTGTCCACCTTATTATCCCCAAGACAGCAAGTACGAGGCCATCAGCGGCAACATGAGCTACATGCAGTGGGGTGCAGACTTGCTCGAGAAGGCCTACCACCACTGGACGAGGGTGCCAGCTACACGGCGCGACTACAGCGAGACCTATGGCGACATCGACCCACTCACTCGGACCAACTCCCGCACGACGCCATGCAAAGCACGGCCATGCAAGCGAGCGACGAGGAGCATGGCAAGCTACGACGAAACCTACGCCAGAGCAGCCGAGAGTACAGCACGTGGCTCGCTAACACCTTCACGACGCCAGGTGTGCTCCACAAGATCATGACACCTCCACGGCGGGAGAAGGAAGTGACAGTTGGAGATCAGGGCCTTTGCAGCACAAAAGGACATCGTCGGCACCAAGGCCGAGGACTCCAAGCGCACCCGCCGCCTCAAAGGAGAACCAGACATAGACAACGGTGTAGACAAGATACGGTGTAGTGACATCCGACGCCTACCACGAGCTGGTCGCCAAGCACTCGCCGATCTCTTCAACCCCTGCCAGGAGCAGCTCCTACCGCAACTCTTCAGGAGCTGGGAGCTATATCTTCGTGACAGGGTACAACAGTGGACACGTTCACAGGAACGGGAATGGGACGCCGCGGCAGCCCACGACCACGACATCGACGACAACCAGATGGATGGGAGTACCGTCCCGACTGGCGATGCGCCGCCTGCGCTTTGCCGACAAGACATGCAAATGCAAGGCCAGCTCGACCGCATACACCAGCATGAGCTTGGGCAAAGTACCGACCTTATTGCCGCTCCCCTTGGAAGGCATGTCGTGGCGGATGCCCAGTGCGACACGCACCCTGGGGGTCCGCTGCGGGGTGCCGAGGATCTCGGGGGCGGACCGCGGTCGCGCTGCGGGACCAGCATGAACGCGACGCTCCCCGCGCCTCAGCAAGACGCGCGGGGAGGGAGGGCGGTCCCCAGGGACGCGCCCTCAGAGCGGACCAGCAGCACCACGACCAGAGACCCCGATATGACCGACACAAACTGGGGCAAAATACTGGCCTTATTGCCGCTCCCCTTGGAAGGCATGTCGTAGCGGATGCCCAGTGCGACACGCACCCTGGGGGTCCGCTGCGGGGTGCTGAGGATCTCGGGGGCGGACCGCGGTCGCGCTGCGGGACAAGCAAGAAAGCAACGCTCCCCGCACCTCAGCAAGACGCGCGGGGAGGGGGGGCGGTCCCCAGGGACGCGGCCCTGGGCGCGAACCAGCAGCTCCACGACCAGCACGACCACCACAAGCCAGGACACGACTATGAACACCTGATGGGACACGCCGAGGGGGAGGACGAGTACTCCCTGCGTCGGCCCATGGGGGCGGTAGCGGATGGCCAGCGTGGAGATGCATTCGAAGGCCCACGCCCACCAAACTCTACCGCTCCAAGCGACGACGACGACAGTATTCGACAAGACAACGCACGTGGCGGACGGCACGAAGTACACTGGCAAGACAACGAACACGAACAGTGCAAAGGCTCGACAGAGAACCTAGTACAACGACGGCGACGATGGGTGCTCCGACTCCTGGCGGCCGCCAGCCAGCATGATGGGCACCAGCTACACCGCGACCTGCACCAGCGTGAAGATGGGCGGTGTACAGGCCTCATTGCCGCTCCCCTTGGAAGGCATGCCGCGGTGAGCGCCCAGGGCGTCCGCCCTGGGGGTTCTGCTACGGGGTGCTGAGGATCTCGGGGGCGGAACGTCGACGCGCTGCTGAGCCCGCGCGCCATCATCGCTCCCTGCGCCTCCGCCAGACGCGCAGAGAGTGTGGGCGGTCCCCAGGGACGCGGCCCGCGGAGCAGTGGCTGCGCGGCGCGCGCGGCCGCTGAGCGTCCGACAACCAGAGCAACGTCGGCGACGATGGGAGCTCCGACACCTGGCAGCCAGCCAGCACGACTGGCACCAGCAGCACCGCGGCCTGCACCTGCGTGGGATGGGGCAATGTACGAGTCATATTGTCGCTCCCCTTGGAAGGCATGCCGCGGCGAGCGCCCAGGGTGGCCGCCCTGGGGGTCCGCAGCGGGGTGCTGAGGATCTCGGGGGCGGATCACCGTCGCGCTGCGGGGCCAGCACGTCATCTTCGCTCCCCGCGCCTCCGCCAGACGCGCGGGGAATGAGGGCGGTCCCCAGGGACGCGGCCCTCGGAGCGGTGGCCGCGCAGCGCGCGCGGCCGCCGAGCGACCGACAGCCACCGTGGCTGAGGGGGAAAGCTGGGAAAGCTCCTCCTCCTCCTCCTCCTCCTCCTCCTCCTCCTCCTCCTCTTATTCCTGCTCCGTCTTTGCGTTCTCATTATCGTAGCCCTCGTCTTTCCTCTCGCTCTATCCCCTCCCCCTCCCGGTCATCATTCCACGGGATTCCGCACTTGCACCGCCATTGCCGAAGCGATCTCGCAAATGGTCACCAACACGTGTACTTATCATCTGCAGGCCTTGCACTTCAATGGTCAATTTTTCTCTGCGCGCGCGACGTTCCCACCCGCCACGGAGAACGCCGACCTCGGTAGTTTTATCTTGCACGTGCCGCTGCTCTGATGCGCCTGCCAACTGCGCGCATTCAACCCGAGGTGCCTGCGTTCTGCGCACGCTACTCTCACTCCCCTCGTCAAGTGTTCTGTCTCCTGCGCGCTTCTGATGTGGCCCTGCCGCGGGAACTTCAGGCTGCACGCAGCGCACGTCAACTGTCGTCCCAAAGAAGAGCCTCAAGGAGGACCTCTCCAGCGGAACATCCACAGCCCCTTAGGGACACACTGCCAACTAAGTTTCCTCCACCCCTGGGCTGAAAACTGCCAGCGACATATGCTGCCCCCTCGATTAACACTACCAGCGGAAAATCCTCACCCCCTTGGCTTAAACATGGATTCGAAGTATCCTCCCCGTTGGCTTCAAAAGTGTCAGCGGCATATCCTCACCACCCGTGGCTTCAAGTTGCCATCGACATATCCTCACCCCCAGGCTTAAATACAGCGAGCGACATACCCACCAACCCACGGCTTCAAACTGCCAGCCAAATGTCCTCACCCCCCTGGCTGCAAACTGCAAGCGACATCTCATCACCCCCCTGGCTTGAAACTGCCAGCGAAATCTCCTCACCTCCGTGGCTTGAAACTGCCAGCGACGTATCCTCATCCCCCTAACTTAAAAGTGCCAGCGAATTATCCTCATCCCCTTCGGTTAAAATGGCCAGCTAAGTATGCTCACCCCCTAGCGTTAACCTGCCAGCGGAATGTCCTCAGCCCCCCTGGCTAAACCTACCGCCGACATCTCCACACCCCTCTGGCTGAAAACTGCCAGGGGAATATGCTCAACACCTTGGTTGGATTCAAGCTGCCATTGAAATGTTTCACCCCCTGGTATAAAACTACAAGCGAGGTACCATCTTCCTGGCGAAATTTCCTCGCCCCCTCTGGCTTCAAACTGCCCTCTCACGGCTCGGGTGTTTGAGCCAGCTCGGTGAATCAGGCAGTCAGTTCCTCCGCTTCCTCTTGCTCCGCTTCGATCTTCTCCGCCCTCCTCCTCCTCCACCTCCTCCTCCTCTCTCGTCCTCCCTCCTCCTCCCTCGTCCCCCTCGTCGCCGACACCGCCGTCAGCCTCCTCCTCCTCCTCCTCCTCCTCCTCCTCCTCCTCCTCCTCCTCCTCCTCATCATCATCATCATCATCATCAGCATCAGCATCAGCATCATCATCATCATCATCATCAGCATCATCATCATCATCATCATCAGCAGCAGCATCAGCATCAGCGTCAGCATCAGCGTCAGGCATTAGCGTCAGCATCAGCGTCAGCATCAGCATCAGCATCAGCATCAGCAGCATCAGCAGCATCAGCATCAGCATCAGCATCAGCATCAGTATCATCCTCATCCTCATCATCATCCTCATCATCTTCATCATCTTTATCATCTTCATCATCTTCATAATCAGCATCATCACCAGCAGCAGCATCAGCATCAGCATCAGCATCATCATCATCAGCATCATAATCATCCTCATCCTCATCCTCTTCATCCTCTTCATCCTCTTCATCCTCTTCATCCTCTTCATCATATTCATCATCATCATCATCATCATCATCATCATCATCATCATCATCATCATCATCATCATCATCATCATCATCATCATCATCATCATCATCATCATTCTCTTCATCCTCTTCTCCTCATCCTCTTCATCCTCTTCATCATCTTCATCCCCTTCATCCTCTTCATCCTCGTCATCATCTTCATCCTCATCCTCATCGTCATCTTCCACCTCCTCCGACTCGAAGAACTTGCAACATTCGTAGACGCGCAGTCCGCCACCGCGCCTGGCGGCACGAACAGGCGCGCTCCCTCCCGGTCTCACAGGCTGCCTGGAGGGCCGGAGCGACCCTGAGAGCGGCCCAAGGACACGGACACACAAATAATATAGACACAAATAACAGGATTCCCTGTCAAGACGAGCTCAAGACGGTCCAAGATGACCCCAAGAGCCCCAAAAAGCCCCCAAGAAGGCCCACGAGGGCCCCACGAGGACCCCCCAGAGCGTCTCCAGAGGAAATCACTGTTTTCAAGAG